GTGTGTGTGTGTGTGTGTGTGTGTGTGTGTGTGTGTGTGTGTGTGTAGGGTGTAGAAGGGCCCCCAAAGGAGACGAGCAGAGACAGGTGCCCTGTTGCAGGCCTGGAGACTTTAATGTCCTGCTGGCACTGACCAGGCCTCTTTGAATGACCCCAGAAGCTCCATCCCATCACGCCTCTTGCTGGTGAGGAGAAGGGCCTGTCCATCTACCTCCTGACCTTGTGGGTGGTTCCTGTCTGTTTGTCTGTCTAGCTGCTGAGATGGGGGGCTGCCATGCTGGGCCAACCCTCCCGCGCCAGCCCCCCACCCTTGGCCATGCTGGCTCTAAGCCCAGGCTGACGCCCCGTGGCCTTCACAGCCTGCGGGGAATGAGGGTCTCCTGGGAGCCCTGATGCTGGTCGAGGCTTCCCAGGGAGGACCCGAGGCTCCAACGCCCCCGGGCACTGGCCACACCCTCCAGGGTCTCTCGTCCCTTCAGAAGCTCAGCGGCTGCCACCTCCACTTCCTGCAGTTCCATCTGGCAGGCTTCCACCAGGGTGTGGCTCGTTGCCATGACGAACTTAGCATCAGCCGCCAAGGTGTCCAGGCCCCCTCGAACCAGAGCCTGCAGACGTGAGAGGTGGCCGGGGGGTCTTCCCGCGGAGCCTCAGCCCCTCTCCACCCCAGACCATTGCAGGGCCACCCCGGGATGCAGTCCAGTGCCTTCCTAGCCCCCCTCACCTCTCGGATCAGCAGGGCCGTGGCTGGGGCCAGGCACACAGGGGTACCATCCTTGGGGGGCGCTTCCTCAGGCAGGGACCCTGGGGTGGGGCTCCTCTCCTCGGGCACCAGAGACTGTGTCCCCACAAGCTGTTCCAGGTGCACAGAAGCAAAGACCCCTCAGGAATGCCGGAGCCCACTGGGATCAGGAAGCTCCAGCTCTTCAGAGGGAGCCCCAGCCAAGACCCCCAGGAAGCGGGGGACCAGGAGTCCCGTCCCTTCTGCTGTTGAATTAACACTGCAAGCTCCCCGGCCTCTGGCCCATTACCTGGCAGGGGGCGGCAGGTGCCTGAGCTCTGGGTATCACCCTCCGGGGCAGCCGTCCCTGCAGCCTCTCCCCATGGGACTTGCTGTGGGGTCCTGTGGGCACGAAGGGCCGAGGGCCAGAGGGGCTGCTGACTCCTGTTGGGAGCCCTGGGGGGACAGAGCTCCCCTTGGCCAGTCAGCCCCGCGCTGAGATCCTCGGGGTCCTAGAGGGTGACACATGCCGAGGCCCAGCCCACCCCAGGCCTGGCAGGACTCCCCACTGCCCAACCCCCCAACTCTACGTGCCCTGGTCCCTGTCCCTGTGGGTTTGGGAGGGGATCAGGGCCAGAGCCTGACCAGCTTTGGCCAAGCTGATCTTGTGTTTGTGTGCGTGTGACTGTGCATGTGTGTGTGTGCGTGTGCGTCTGTGTTGGGGAACACAGCAACCACCCCGGTCTCCTGTGAACTCCAGCCTCCTCAGGCCCCTACTGTCACACACAGCGGTCCAGGACCCACTGAGAGGCTGCCAGGTCATCTGCTGAAAGGCAGAGCTGAGGTGTCAGTGTGTCCAGGGCTGTCTTCAGCCGGGGTGGAGGGGTCCGAGCTTCCTGGTGTGCCAGGGAGAGCCCTTTCACAGTGCACCACCCACCCCCGGCTCCCTCAGTCACCTGGGTGGCCCCCTTCCTCGGCCTGGGTGAGGAGCTGGTTCCCATGGCCACAGGCTCCCAGCCCTCCCAGCCACAGGCTCCCCAACTGGACGGAGGAGCGGCTCCCCAGGCCTTCCTGGGAGGTCAGCCCCTCGGGAGCACAGGAGAGACTGACCCAGGGTCCTCTGGGGCCGGCCGGAGGCTCCTCCTCTGGTGGCAGGCGTCTCTGTCTCCCCTGGGAGCTCCCCTTCAGAGTGGACGCTGAAATGGAAGCACGGCTGATGGGGCTACGGGCTCCCCCATCCCTGCCCTCTGTGGTCCCCACACCCTTTCCCTCAGGGTCTAGGCCCATCGCTGTGGATGTGGCCAGCCTCCTCCCCTCCCCTCTGCACCCCTTTGCTCTCTGGCCCCTCCCACACCTGCCCAGCTCGGGCCTCACACCCCTGAGGACACTGCGTCTCCACCTCAGTTGCACGTGGATCACCCGGGAGCCCTCACATCTGGTCGCAGGGTGTCCCGCCCAGAGCCCACAGTTCTGGAAGCTTCCTCCATGCCCCTAACCAGTTAGGTCCTGGGCCCTCGGCCTGCTCAGGACGTACTCCTTGACATCGTTTGGTCACAGTCGGATCACATGGCACGTTCTCCCGACAAGACTGCAATCCTCTGGGGGCTGGGCCGGGTCTGCACGTCCACAGCACCCAGCACCGCGGTGACGCCACGTGCAGGCGCCCTCCAAGACTTGTGGGCTGAATTCGAGGGGTCTCAGGCCAGAAGGGGGTGCAGGCAGCCTGAGCCTGGGAGGTAGTGTTTCCCCTGGCCTCTGCCCTGCCCCGCCCATTCCTGAGGTGGGGGAACCCAGCCTCTCTGGGCCAAGGAGACGCCCAGTTCCGGGGCCCTCCGTGGAGAACAGAAGCTCTGCTTGGAGCCCAGCCCATGGGCCACGATGGCCGAGACCCTCTCTGCTCATCCTGCTGTTTTTCCTGACACTCGTAATCACGGATTATATTCAGCCCCGGGTTGGCCACATGGGAACCACCTGGAACCCAAATCCAAGGGCTGAATCTTAATTCTTCGGGTAGGATGCGCCCTCTCCTTCTAACCTAACGTGTGCCTTTCCCGGACCCACCAAGACCACGGAAGAAAAGCACCGCTGGGCACTGACCGACACCGACCCGAGGCTGCCCCCTGCTGGCTACACACGTCTCTGCCGTCCAGGCCGGCCGCCTGCGCAGCAAGGCGTGGGCTGGACCCCAAAGGGCACAAGGCAAGCAAAGCACACCCTCCACGTTTCGGGGTGCCCCCAAAGGCCCGGAGCCCACTAACCACGTCTGCCCAGTCTCACCCCAGCCCCTACATGCCAGGCTGACGGTTGCCGCCACTACCTGGAAAATGCCGGGCTGTTGCCATGGTTGCTGTTGCCACCGGCAACGTTGGCGTTGGCATTGTTGGTGTTGGCACGGGCAAGAGGGTTGGTGCTTGGATGCTGAGGGAAGTCCTCCAAGAAGACGGGCGACTCCAGCTCCTGCATCTCTATTTCAGTAAACTGGAGGGGTCTCTGGTTGGCCATGTGTGGAGGCAGGGAGTTGGACCTTTCCAGGAAGCTGTCCACCTGGCCAAACAGGCCTCCGGTCCTCTGGGGGCGAGGAGGACAGGGGAGGGACTGAGACCAGGCACCAGGGATGGATGTGCGGGGGCTGCCACCCTGGACGACAGACGGCCCCAGGAACAAGGCCAGAGGAGAACAGAGCAGGCTGTGAGGCCGAAGAAGAGACCATCGCCCTCAGGGCATTCTCAGATTGATGGGGTACGCGGGACACCCCTAAGAACTTTACGGGGACCAGACACCGGGACGGGAAATGCAGGGTGTTGGGGAGCCCGGAACCAGGCAGTCTGGAGGACGGGCTCTAGTCCCACCTCCGAAAGTAACTTGCTGAGCGGTACTGGACTCAGACGGTCTCTCTGGGCCACCATTTCCTCATGAATAACCCAGAAGGTTCAGCTGGGTGGTCGTGAGGGACCCTCCAGCTCTGGGAGGGAGGACAGTGAGACAGGAAGCAGCTGGGGCATCTGGTAACGGGGGCTTCCGATGGATGGACGTTGCCTCAGGCTTGTGGGGAGGGGAGGCCGGGGAGGCTGAGCAGAGGAAGGTGGGAAGGACGTGACACCTCAGGTAGGTGGGTCATTGGTTCAGAGTCCTGGGAGGTGTGGGCGGCGGGTATCCTCAGCCCCGCCGCCCCCACCGCCCCCCCGCCCCCGTTCTGCGCGGCGGGGCTCCTGGCCTCCTTTCCGCTCCCTGGCCTGGAACGCGCACGCGCTGGCGTGGCCGGGGCCTCACTCACCCGGAATATCCCTTCCTCCATCGCGGCCTCCACCATGGCTCTCTCCAGCTCTTCCTCGGCCGTCAGGTCTCCCGAGATGGTGCGGCGGATCTCAGGGGCTGCCTCTTCCTCAAGGGTCCGCAGTCCGGCCTGGGGACACAGAGGGACTCAGCGGCGCCCCCAGGCCAGGAGGGGAGGACACACTGCACCTCACGGCCTCCCCGTGTGTAATCCCGGCAACCAGGGCTTCCCTGAAGGCCCAGCTCCGCCCCACCCCCTCCCGCCCATTCGATCCCCCTGGGCTCCTGCTCTGCCGCTGGGATAATCCAAACCCTGATGGCTCCCAAGGCATCTTCTCTAGGCCGCACAGGGGGTTTCATCCCCTGCCCAGGCCTCCAGGCTGGGAAATCCTCTCATCAGTAGTCTTTTAGACAAATGATCTCTTCCGA